AACGCCAATTGCCAGGAAGCCTTCGGGCCGGCTTGAATCGGATGCCTGCAGGTGGTAGGTCGGCTTGTGGATGGGCCAGTGGGAGGGTTATGAGCTTTCATAAATTCGCATTGATTGCGTTCAATTAAAATTCAGTTATGCTCCGACGGCGCTTGGCAGTTACAAGGGAATATTTTAATTAATTTTCACGCGCTCAGCATAAAATTTTCGTTGCGAAACCAGAAGCAAATTTGGTGCGTATTTCGATGTGGCTGTCGTTTGAATCATTTGAACTTGCAAAATAAGTTTCCGATATTTTCTTATTGTTTTTTTTTCCAAAAAATTGTCTGATTTCGTTTGTTATATGTATAGCATCTGATGCTAACACTTTTAAGCTAAGCTTAAAGCCTGTATACCCAGAAAAAAGATATTAAAAATGACAAAAATTGTTTGGCAAACAAGCAGTGCGTTTAAACCTTATTAGGGGATTTACTAAACGACAGAATCGCTGAATCGTTGAAAATTAAACAGATATTTTCAGCCATTGAGGGAACGATTCAAAACTGCAACAGAAAAAATATTGACAACTTCAACAGTCTAGAAGTTGCTGAAATTTCTGAAAGTTTAATTTGTATGGAACAGCGGGCAAAAACTGACCGAATTTCAACGGTCGACCGATTTTGTCGTTTAGGGAATACCCTAAATATGTGTCATCGACAGTTTTTTGGTTGAAAATTTTTGCTTTACTTCTTTAACTACTTCCCTCATACCCATTGCTTCTAAACATATACCCATAAAACTCGCTTTATCAACGTTTTATAGAATATTACGTTAATTCAGCGCGCCGAAATTCGAATCTATTCCAAAAATAATAAAAAAACGCACCCGAACCAATTTCACTTTATCGGAGCTAATAGAAATGAGTTGTACACTCAGGCATTAAATATTCCTCACAAAAACTTTAAAGTAATTGTTGTTTCAACTCTTGAAACAGTGCTCCCTTTTCTCGCCACGGAGCTACCCCATTTATATCCATCTATCTGTGGCATTCATCGACATCATCATCAGCCCACGCCAATCTCTCATATAGATACTTTGTCTAGCATTTCAATTGGCAAACACACTTGAGCTTTGCGAGCTACACGAGTTTAGAGTCGGATGGCAGCAAAAAAGATACCGCACCCGCCGCTAAAGTAAACAACAACCCCGGTTCGCGTTCAGGTCTTCGCCCTGGCAGAACCAAAAAGCCTTTCATCTACTTCAGTGCTCAAGTAGCAACAACAGCACGATGCGCAAACAAGGACATAGCCAACAAGGAACCAAAGTGCGATTTTCGAAAATGGCAAAAGTATGTTTTTCAAATCTGACTTTTCAAGGCCAACCCATCATTGCGAAAGTCGCGTTGGGAAGTGGGACTGCGGGTGGCGTAAATGCAATGCAAACTTTGACGCAAGTCTTCTTTTGGGGCAAATTGTCGCCGTGCGACGTCTGACTGTCAGATGTTGGTTTTTCAAATTATTTGCCAGGGTTTCCCCAAAATGATGATGCCTTAAGACGCCAGTGATGACTTCGCAAGGCCTTTGCCACAAACTCTTTACTTAAAATAAACACACAAAGCCATGTATATCTGTGTATACGAATATGGCCATGGATATGTGGACGTCTGCCCTGGCGGCAATTCGAGATGTTGTTGGTGTTTATTCTAAACTTTGCCTGGTGAGCCTCAGTGTGTCTTGGCCCCGTCCGTCATCTACTCGCTACAAGGGGCAAATTTATAGTTTTAGTTGCTGGGTTCGGCCCGACGGTTTCATATAGCACACAACTAATAGGTTTTCTTTGGGCGTAGACTTAGTCAAACTCTTCTGTTTGGTCCCGGCAAATTTACTTGGACTTCTTGTCGTGCTTCTGTTTAGACCCAAAATCACATAGGCTGGAATTTTGTTTATAAATAGTTCAAATATACATCGCGGTTTGCTTGAATGGGAAACTTTACAGACTGAAGAAGGCGATGCACTTCCTAGCTTTCTTCAAATTTAACTGTTGACTTGTTCCTACTTCACTTATTAGAGAAAAGTCAACTATTAACAGCTAAGAGAATCGTATTAAAACGCAAAAAACCACAGTGATTAATTAAGCACTCTGAAAAAGTTGTCTCCGCTACTCGCTAATTAAATAATTCACCAAAAGTCAAGCATAGCGCTATGCCACCGGCAACTTTTTCCTTCCAACGCTTTTCCTGTTTTTTATATTCTGTTTGCAGCTAATCTATGCAAAGTTGGCAGCGCTCACAAAAACTATTATGGAATTTCATTGAAAGTTGCGGCCAAAAAGTCGCGAATAAAAAATCCTAACGAAGGACAACAAGAGAGCCGAAAGTTTTCCCGGTCATAACGAGTCAAAGTTGCAGTTCAGTTGATGAACTCGCTGGACGGCGTCCGGCATGGCCACACATGCTCTGGATGAGGAGCGTGGACCCCCTCACCTTTCCCGCGGGCCGCACTGTGCGGAAACCTGTCAGTTTAAGCCGCTTAGAGGGGACAGAAACCGTTTTTGGGGAGTCTGCATTCGCTGGCAGTGCGTATGCGTAATATTTATGCATATTATTTTCCATTTCTGTTAACTGCTCTCGTAATCAAAAATTTACATATTTGGGCCACCAAAATTAATTATAATGCCACCACAATCTCAGCCACATAAAAAGGGCTAGAGGAAAATCATGGAGAAGAGAAGGGGAGATTTATTTTGTTCCAGGGTTGCAACAGCACAAATTTTCATTTGTGTTTTACGCTTGTGTAATTAAACTATCTTTATAATTAAATTAAATGTATTATTTATTATAAGCTTGGGACCTGTTTCATGACTGGATGTACGTCATTTATCACTGAAGAGCGATCTTAAAGGAATGTAAGTCGGAAAATATATCTTTATTAACCCAATATTTACCATGTATTAGATTACTTGTGAGGCAAAGTTTTCCAAGGATACAAAAAAGTGTTTTAACATTTACCAGTTTAGCAAGGCGGTAAGAAATTTTGTCGGTAGCCCTGGCATTTATGTTTGCGGAGGGGGGTGGGGGGAGTAAGAGAGAAAGTCATGAATACAAAATGTGCCGCAGCTTTTGGTTTTGCGGCTCAGTTCACCGTTCTTCCGCCCAATTCGCCCATTGCCCCCTCCCCTCGCTCTGGTCTCACACATGGCAAAACTCATTTCATGGGTCACGAGCTACAATCATCTCACCGATTCAGGGGAGAGGGCGGTCAGGGGTGAAGTGGCCGACAGAAACTGGCCAAAAATTGATTATGGCAGCCACACTGCAATGCCAGAAGGAGACCGTTCTGGGGCAAAAAAGGAAGCACTGCCGAGCAACTATCATCAAAATCCTATTAGTTGGATCTCTGGCCACGGCCGGCCCTTTGGCTTTGTCCTTGTCCAGTTGCCTGCATTTTGTCAGCGTTTATTTGGCAAATTAATTCCCCAAAAGGTAAGCCAAACTTGCGATTTGAAACAATCAGCGATCCCCAACCCACTCCACGCAACTCCAAAGTCCTTTTGTCCTTTTCGGTCCGGCTGCAGCTGTTGTTTGCCCCAACAGTGAAAAAAACCAGAGCGACGGAGAACCCCAGACGCAGCAGCCTGGCCAAAAAGGGGTCGCACGGCTCTACGTTAAAATGACCCCTTCGAAAGGGACAAGGGCTACGCTGCTGGGAAAAAGGAAAGCCCGGACACACAATTTGTGACAATTCCTTTTTGCGGATTAATATTTGCTCTTCCCCACCGGGGAACTCTCTCACCGGTTGCGTCTTTATTTGTCTCGCTGCCCTTTTCCGGTCTGCCCCTCCACTTCATGCAAATTAACTTGCCAGAAATTTTGCAGGATTTTGCTGCATGGGAAGCCTGACTTCGAATCGGAATTAAAGCCAGACGTTCTGACGCGTTATATGCTTTAAAGGACACCAAAAATCAACCCTTTTTATCTCGGAAGCAGCTCTGATTACCACCCCGAAATATTTTCTTATAATGTGGTGGTTATTGTTTAAGGACTTAATTACTTTACCAGGCTATATATTCGCAAGTGGAAAAGCCTTTCTGAAACTTGCTAGCCAAATTTATAAATGAAAGAGTCATGTTATAACTCATTATAAGAAGAGAAGTAAATAACAAATATTTTGCAAAGAGAGACTTTTATTTATTAGACTTATAATAAACACTTAAATTAAATTTCGGTCTACATATTTTGAATGTTATGGACATGAATATGTAATATCAACATGCCGATAATTTTAATTTGTATAACTAAATAGAAGGCTAATGTTTTTTTAAAAACATGTCCATGTATTAAAACTTAAAATATTTTTTTACAAACCTTTTTGGGATTTATTTAAACAACGTAAAGGTCCACTTAAAACATGTTATAGTTTTTTAATGTTAATACTTAAAGCGCTTATGCAGTCTTCTAGACTTTCTATTTTTCTTACGCTTCACAACTTAGTTGTTTTGCTTTTCAAAACGAAGCAATGAAAAACTGCTGACTTCAAGGAGCTTTTCTTCCCAACTTTTTCGAAAGGCTTTCAAGTGGACTAGACGGGAGTGCTTTGACAACTATCTTGATATATGGATTTTAGCTTCGCCGCGTCCGAGCAAGACTTGGTTTCTTGGACCTAAGACCACAGTTGACGGACAGTAATTCCCTTGAACTTGTTGGCCTTCCTTGCCCCAGCCTTTCTGGAAGTTTCAACCTGGGCTATGGTCAAGATAAGGTTAGTTTGCGAGCAGTCAATGGAACCGTTTGTGTACCTTGTGTTGCAACCGAGTCGGCTGCAATTCCAGCAGTCAAGTGTCAACATCGGCCCAACTCCACACTTGCGTGATTTGTTTTCATTGAAGACTTTTCCTCGTGTTTTCCACCGCAGCCATCCGATCTGATCCGACGTGATGCTGGTGATCGATGACGAAATGGAACTGGCGACTGCAACTGCGGCTACAGCCATTCAACTGCGAGAGCTCAGCTGGCGGACTACTGTTCTCTGGGCTGCCCGACAATTGGCCAACTAACCAACTGTGCGCGATAACGATGACGATGGGATTGCGAAATTTTTGCAAGCCACTCAAATCAAGTTTTTCCGCCGAACGAATGCAGCGCAGAAAATATGAAAATCGCAAGTGGTTTCATTTAGTTTTCATTTGCGGCTCGTTGACGTTGGTCGGTATTGATCAGTGGTGTCGGCTCCTCAGATATTGACCCAAAATTCGGACAAATACGATGATGTTAGAACGGATTGTGCTGCTGGTGGCATTGGTACCATTCGGAGTTCGAGGCGACGATGGGTTTTTGACCGAGCCGCGTAAGTGCAGCCTGCTATGAGATCGAAAGATCGACTTTGGTCGATGGTGTAACACTCATTGTAATCATTAAGTTCTGCGTATCTTTAAGACACATTCGCCTTAAAATCCTCAAAGAGCTTTAATACTCCTCGGTCTTGGCTAACACACATATGTGACTAACACGCTTAGCAGCTGGGACTTTGCTGCTCGAATTCCGCCAAAAATATTGCACCACTAAACCGGATTTGTTTCTCTGAATTCTCTGTGTGTATTTTGTTTGCGTTACTCGCACTCGATCCGAATCCAATATGGATCGAAACTGATTTGAAATGATCTGAACTGAACAAAATTCTAATCGAACCGCAGCAGATTACATCAAAGAGTGTAGGATAGCCGACAGGGACTTTGTCAACTGCTCCACGCGCAGCATCCAGCAGCTGTTCGACAAACTCAACGATGGTGGGTAGCGTCCTATGGTGGGAGGTTCTCTGCTGACAATCTGGTCCCGATTCCCAGGCATTCCCGGGCTTACCAGCATCAAGAGCTTCGATCCCTTCTATCTCAACCGCATCCGAATCACCCAGGGCAACAGCAACGCAATCAACCTCAAGGTGGAGCTGGCCAACGTCAAGATCACTGGATTCGGGCACACGCACGTCCTGGAGAGTCAGTGAGTGAAAAGTAAGCCCATATGGCGAACGCTCTGAGGCACCCATCTTTTTCAGGGTGTTCAAGAAGGACTACAGTTGGAAGACCACGTTCACGCTGCCCGAGATGAAGCTCCAGGCCGACTACAGTCTGTTCGGTCGCATCCTACTCATCCCCTTGAACGGAAAGGGGCAGGTGTTCCTGGACGCGGAAAACATGACGGTGACCATGCACACGAAGACGCGGCTCTACTCCAAGGGCGGCTTCACGTTCTACAACGTGACCGGCCTGCATGTGGACTTCAAAATCGATGGCCTCAAGTCCTACTTCTCCAACCTGTTCAATGGCAACAAGCAACTGGGTAAGTGGCTGCGATCCCCTGACTCCTCATTACTCACTGACTTTCGAACGGTCTCCGACGCAGAGGACAGCACCAACAAGTTCTTCAACGACAACTGGCGCATGCTGGCGGATGCCTTGTACACGGTCATCACCCAGACCATCGAGGACATCCTCCTGGACGTGCTGAAGAAGATATTCCACTTCATTCCGGCCAACTTCTTTGTGAGCGACATCCCGACGCCGGACCAGCTGTACGGGCGGGCCAAGCCGAAGCCGAGGCCGAAATGAGGAGGTTATCCGTGGAATCTGGGAGTGGGGCACCGGGGAAAGGTAATGCTGTAGTCCAGCCAATAAAGTCTGTGGGAAAACACCAAGCGACCCCTTCTAATGGAGCAGCACACATGCATTGTCTGAGGGAGACACAAAAAAGGTTTCCTGCCTGCTCTCCAAGGCATTAGTGTCGGTCAACTGTTGCCTTAGTCCTCGGTCGTCTGGAAAAGAAGAGTGAAAAACTAATGGCGGCACCTTAATCAGACATTGCTCGGCCGTGTCCAGAAAATATATAAGGATAGACGTCGCTGCGCAGACAGTCTGCAAACGATGGCTAGGCCGCTGGCCTCGATAAAAAGTACACAGTCCTTACATTGCACAACTGCATTCGGCAAATAAAGCCGTCAACCAGCGGAGGGAGGGGGGATTCCCGCTGAGGGTAACCGCACATATGGCAAAGTCAAAACCGGAACCAGAACCAGAAATAAAGGCGGAGCCGCGTGTTCAAATTAATTGCCGCAAAAACAGTTCCCGACCCCAAATTAATTTACATTTTTTATCCGAGCTATTTCTTTTCGACCATTGCGTTTGTAGCCTGCCAATAATTTGCTGCAACTGCTGTTGTTGCTGCACTTGCTGATGCTGCAGCCGCAATTAAAACGTTTGGCGCAGCGGCAACCATTACAAATGCCGAACAATTAGTTTAAATTTAATGCGCATTGCGTTTTCGGCATTTAGTTGTAAAATGCTGCGGTTTCTGCTGCCCCTCGCCGACCTCAGAGTTTTATTTTTTACCAGCTGCGAGACGGGCCAAAACCAAAGCGACAAATCCTGTGCGTGATTGCAATAAATTCGCTGGCTCACGGACCGAAGGCAGCCCCAAAATGCAGTCTCCCCACAAGGTAAACAAACAACAGCACGATTCGAGCTCCAAAGTGAGTAGGGCCCACCCGAAAGGAACACCAGTTGACAATGGGGGAGCGGCAGAGGCCGGGAGACAAACACGAAGGGAAAAACTATGCCGGAGTGCGGCGTTCGGGTCCAAAGTGCGGAAACAGTCGCCAATGCCGTCGCCGACAGTATTTCAATATTCCCCGCCAATGTTGTCCAATATTTGCTGTGACTGTGCACCAGCTCCAGCCCCCGTTTCCCCGCCCCTGTGGTTCGTGCTTTCAGTTTGGCCTCTGTTAAGTTCAGCCTAAAAGTAGGCGGCGAGTGCTTAAAGAGACAGCACAACAATCTAGTTTAAGTATGCCTCTATCTGTGGAACTATACCACCAAGTGCTCTTCATTAATATGAAACAAGCCCAAACGCCGAAGTCGACAATCTGATATAGGTTTCAAAATTAAGTTATTCTGCAGTTCCTTCTTTGTTCCAAATTTATGCACTTGCACTCTTTTAGGTACTCATGAATTGATGTACAAATTCAGTATCTTTACATGTCGTTCTACATTTGTTCGTAATTAGGCCAGTTGTCTACATGCTTGGCTAAATTACTTATAAATAAGTTAGGTGAATGCAAGTTTTCACGGGCACGACGATTCCAGGTATTTTCTGATAAATGCAATTATTACCTTTATTTAAATGAAGTCGTGGACTTTTAATAAAAAGTCCCTACATTTTTTATTTGAAGAGTATTGTGTTCGTTAAAAAGTATGTAATATGTAGAGCAAAGGTTTTTCGGCCCTTACAATCTTCTGTCTGTTCTGGTATAAGTGTCAAGATCTGTAGAATTACGAATGGCTGTAACATTCTTTTCAACGAGTGCTCTTTTAACGAACTTTGCTATAATACTGATATTCCTGCACATCGCTTGACTAACGGCTCCATTAGAAGCCATAAATTAAACATTTAATTATAACGTCCAGTGCTGTGGGCAAATTAATTAATACATAATTTCAAATTAAATGCTGTCAATTCACAGGGGTTAATTCTCCAACACTGCAGCAGCATAACAAACAACAACGACGTAAAAATGTGCCACACAGGAGTGCATGAACTTTAAAGCCCGAATAATTCGAATTTATGACCAAATAATTGCAATCTCATTAGGACACTCGGCCGGCAAACCGAAACACGGACATGACACCAGCTCCAACCGGGCCAATTTGCCATGTTAAAATAAATATTCGCATTTTGTGAAATATTTAACAATAATTGAGCGTAAAATAATCGCCCAGCCCCGGCCCCCAGCCACGCCCCAGAGCGGAGATAAAGCCGTGGAAGGACCCAGACACGGTCAGCTCCGATACTGCGCTCCCAGCCAGCAACATCCTGCATCCAGCAGCCAGCATCCTGCGTCCTGCATCCTGCATTAAACAGCATCCAGCAGGCAGCTCCCAAAGGCCGAGTGCGTTAATTGCAGTTGCCGTTGCACAGGACACGGATTGCGGCGACAGCGACAATTGTAATTAAATAGACACCACACAGGAGCCCCTCCTTAATCGCCGCCCCTGCAGCTGGAGTGAAATAGGATGATGGGGACGGTTGTGTGGACGGCAATGGAAGTGCCAGGATAAGGTTTAACTTCCGAATTGTGAGCATATGCCATGAAGAGGTAGTTATTTTCGTATTTTTTGTTACAGAAAAATTAGTTTTTCCCGACCTAAGGTAACAAAAGACTTTGAAGTCTCCAGATGCAACCTATTTTTAATCATTGAAATAATTTTTGTTTTGTACAATGAATAAATAAAAAGTACTTTCTAGACTCTGTCATTGTTAGTCAGTTAAATTAGACATTTTTAAGACCAATGCACTGTTACTTTTCGTTACTTTTATTGCCCAGTTAGCCCACAGTGCAATCGAGTTGTTCATTTATTGAAAGTTATTGAGTTGTTGGCATTAATTTTGCATATACACGTAAGTGGAAAATAGAACGCACCGGTTTGCGGTGCGCTGACAATTTTGGAGCCCGTTTAACAAGCTCCACCACGTTAATGCTAATCTCGTAAAAATAAACAACATTTCGACCAAATCGATGGCTTGGCCATTAGGCCAATCGCTGGTCATTGTCGTTTGGATCGCATCAGACTTGAGCGAACGGGAAGCTGGAAATGGCCCCATCAATATTGTAAGTGTTTAGCTTATTTGCGAAAATTTGTTGACACACAGACCGCCCCAATCGCGAACGGAACAAGCAATCAAGGAGCGGCATCAGCTTAGCAGACTTCCGCCAAGGATAACAGAAGACTATAAGAAGATGCCGGCGGCATTCGCATCGCTTTACAAGATTTTATTTACACCTTCTGCGAAAATGTTTACACTTCAACAGTCAGCGGCAATAAGAAGTGGGAAGTCTGCCCCCGTCACGCCCACCGCTCCCCGGTGTTGAAATGAGCAATATGTAAACCTCCAGGATGCCAAAGGCAGATCCCCAAACAATGGAAAGTGGATTTCCACCTGGCAAAAAATTACTCAAACAGAAAGCCAAAAAAACTCATAAAAATAGGGAAAATGCTAACGGCCCTTGCATAATGCGGACATATAAGAGGGATGCGAACTAGAACTAGGAGGCTGCAGACGGCGGACCGAAGGCGCACCAGAAGGGCGTTGTCATAGCGTAAATTTATGTAAAAATTTGTAGCAATTGCAATAAGTTCGTCGTCGCCATCGCCGGCGGCACTTAGAAGCACACAATTTGCGTGCAAGACCAAATAAATTCCTTCGATTCAAGGCAGTTCTTTATGCGCATTTTAAGCGCGGACCCAGGAACAGAAATGCCTGGGGAGGGCGCACCTCTGGGACTGGCTCTATTCTACAAGGCAAGGGATATCACTTTATTGTAAATGCATTAAGAACTTTGGGAAAAACTGATTACAAAATTTGCTCAGCTTTTGTTTGCGGAGCCCTTCATGATGTCTGAACCCGAGTCAAGCCAAGCCAATGATTTACAAGACAGAGACGAGAGGCTGCGAAAATTAACTCTCAGCTGGCAAATGCTGCGGAGTGCAAATATTGAGCTGAGTCGAAGGCTTTGACTGCCTTAATCTCCGTCAACTCACTACCCCAAAGAATGGCAGAGCGAGCGGAGTATTTCATAAGATTCACAGTCGGAAACTGTTGCCTACTGCCAACGCGTCGACTGTTATTTTTGGCAATCTGTTTGTTTGCCGATTGTCTGTCAGTTATGCTACTTATGCCCCATCCTTTATTCCCAGCACCAGTCCTTGGATCGGCCAGCCTGATTTAATAAGAATCCATTTCCCCCTCGTCCCGCCTGCTCATCGCAATTAACATAATTTTTATAAGTGGATTTTCATAGTTGAACAATCTTCGGCCCGCGGCATTTGTGAAAACTTTAAATTTCAATTCACTTAAGCTCTCGTGGAGGAGAAACTTTTCGCCAGGCCATTGAACCGAGGACAGTCGAAATTGGCGCGATAAGACTTCAAATGTACAGCTCATAGACCCTGTGTGACTTTAATTATAGTTTAACGGCCTTTCTTTCACCGACGGTGTTTGCCGCATAAGGCCATAATTTGCATTCCAATTGTGTTTGGGCGAAATTCGTTATTTCGATTGCAGATCGCTAACCCACAGAACTGAGACCGGCTTCATTCGATTACGGGGTTAAGGTCTTGCGGAATTTAAATGTATGAGGCGTCGCTGCAGGAATGAATTATGGTATAATCACGGGATACACCACGTCTAAAAATCACAGCAACAGGTCAACGAACCACTCAAATCATAACTGGGAACTGTTATTTTCAATAACTTCTAATATCTAATTGCCCTTACGGCGTATGCGCCACTTACTCGGCTTATTAATATTCCCTCCTCCTTTCGATCGATTTGCATATCTAACCCAATTTTTCAGCCCCCATCCCGCCTCTCTACTCGAATTGATCGCGACTTTGGGTTAGCTCAAGTCGACTTATTTTCTGGCATAATGTATGCGCCGGTTTTTCCAAAAGAACTCCATTTAAATGCAATTTGGAAACGGATTTCAACCGGCAATGGCAATAGAATCGGTTTTATTGGAAGCCTGATGGGAATACAAGATGGGGCGCACTACAACTCAACCCTCTCGCTCTGTAATCCCCAGCCCGAGAACCCAAATCAATCTGCGACAATGTGACAATAATAATTGATAACCTTAAAGCCGAAAAAACCGCGGGTTCGCTTCCATTTTATTGGTTGAAGCTGGCGTTGAACAAACGCCGAAGGTGAAGCGAACCAAATAAATTCAATAAAAGTCACTCAAATGTCGATAATTGAAATGCGTGTACACCGGCCAGTAGCAACTGAACAGAGCAGGACAGCCGAAAATTAACATTTTATTTAACAAATTTAATTTGGACAATTCAACAGAAATAAAAATTGCATAAATTTCATTTGCAGTCATCCGTGGGGGTGGAGGTAGATGGGGCGGCGAAGGGGACTGGCGAACTTGATTCGCCTTTATTGACCCTAAACTGAGGCGAGCGGCTCAATGAAACACACATACAAGCCTCGGAGTTTTAGGCCATATGCCGACCGCTTCAGTTTCTGCTAGCGCATCCATTATTCAAAGTAACGCTCTGACGTGTACTGTTCGCGCAATTAAGTTCGCGCCCCGAAATTATGTACTGTACGGGAAGCTCAAAGGAACCGCTCTCTTCTAAGTTATTGTACTTTTCTACGGAAGATTTATCGCCCTCGTAGCGAACTCCGCTTAGATATATAGTGTGGGTAAAAATGTTTGCTTTTTCTTTCTCAGTGACTCATGGGCCTGAACGCGACTTAGCTGCTGTCAACGACTCTCAGCTCGAGCGATGTGCAGTGCATCCTTAATTACAGATGCGCTGCGAAGAGGATGATAGCTTGCCCAGAGATTCCCCTTTTTAGGACTGTTCTTCGCGGGATATTTTAAATATTCGCCAGTTTTTATTATCGCTCGCAAACTTGTGGGAAAACTTTCTGCTTCTATTGTATGCCTTATTACGTGGCCTGCTTTAGTAATTCGAAATAGTTAAACAAGGACCACCCATGTATCTACGCACTGATGGAAAAACACGACCTACGTTTAAGAATAGAGTAGTAACTCGTTAAAGCAGATTTAATGTTTTTAAGGTAAAAATGTTACCTTGCTACTTTTGGTAAAGAGAAAAAGAATTAAAAACAAAATAATCTACTTAATTTTATGTAAACTCAAAGACTAGATCATTTTTCTTAAATAACAAATTTTTGCAAGAAACACATAGCTTAAGCCCTTTTTTTTGTACTGATTGGACTATCGTTACTAATTTTTAGAACTACCTTGTAGTCGGTGCGAATTATCATTGATATTAAAATAAGAATCAATTTACCTAATTTTAGACTTAAATTTAAACCAGTGTTCCCAAAAGCTTTTGCTTCAATTTCGAGACGAATGATGCTTATTCGGATTTTTTTCATGTGTGGGGTGTTCTTATGACTATCACCCTCTATCGGTCCAATCAGCTCGCCAGAAATGCACTTCCAGGGACCGCCACTCCACACACACTCCCTAAATCATTGTCGTCTGCTGCTCATCAGGCAGCCCCTCCGACGCCATTATCGTCGTCATCAATTGCGCTGCCGGTGGCTGCCTGCAGACAGCTTGTCACCGTCGGGCAAACATGCGAATTTCGCAGTCGAGCAGGCAAACACGTGACGAGGCGACGAAGGAGGAGTGGGGGGGCGGAGGACAGATGAGGCGACAATGACGACGTCAATCGTGCGACAAAAAGCAGTTTGAATACTAAAACAAGGCTGACTTGGACGCACATCGCAGCTTTATTGGGCCTCCTCCTTTACAGAACCCCCGTGGATACAACGATCTCAACCCAGACTGAACCGCTTGAGGTTGTCGAATCCCTTGGACTTGTCGATGCGTCCGTAGATGGTGGTCCGAACGATCGTTCCGCCTTTGGGCTTAGAAATCTGCAAGCCGAACCGGAACTTGGCCTCCGGCAGAAAGCTGGGCAGCATCTCCTCGTCTACCTTGTAGTTGGTCAAACTGTAGGTGCCACTCCGGATGGGGCACTCCTTGAAGAAGCTTCCGTGCTTGAGCAAGTCTTCGTAGATCCCGCGCAGCAGCGGATCCGAGTTGCGCTGCTTCATCAGCTTGCAGAAGTTGAGGGTGCGGTTGATTAGAGTGGAGTAGTTCCCCTTGTCCGTTTCCAGTCCAACATCGACCGCCAGCTGGACGTCGTCTAAGTCCTCGAGAGTCTTGATGTCTACGCTTACCTTGGAGTCGCCCAACTCATTCTGCAGGTCCACCTTAACTTCCAAGATCTTGTCGTCGCTCTCAAAATCAATGTTCGTGAGGATGACCTTGAAAGAGCGCTGTTGACGGAAATTAGTCAGACTTCGGCCAGGCAAACCCGTTCCACGCCAACTCACCCAGGCTCCGGTCACGGGGATGAGCACCACCAGAATTAAACTCAGGGCACAGCAGTTTCGGGGGAACACCACACGCATCTTGCTCCAATTATCCACTGAAACTGGGCCATTTTCAATTAGTCAGTATTTATATGAATGCTATTAAGATTAGTCAGGCCCCACTGAGCGACAAAGTGCTGCGGATATTAGGCGCAGATGGGCCTCCGATCTGCCCTGCGAATGTGGCAGGTGATCATGGTGAATTAAGTCAACTAAGTGGATGGACTTTGGAAATCATTCAGGTGTGGCGGGTTACACAATCGATAAGATCGAACACAAAATTGCTGGGCTGATTTCCATATAAATAGTGCTGCGCCGGCCAAGAGCAGACAGTGAAGTCAGCTTACTGCAGTCCACCATGTTGATGTACACCCTGGTACTGGTGCACGTCGTCCTTGCCATTTGCCATGGCTCCTTTGCCGAGGTTAGGCTCTTCCGAGCAGTCCTCAGAGTTCAAAATAATCCCTCCTCTGTTTTTCCAGAAAATGATGCGGCCCAAATTCAAGGACATCAAGATCTGGAGCGACGAAAAGTTCGTCAGCCACAAGGTGGTATACGACAGCAACGACCCACACCTGAACTTCTCCATGGAGGTGCACCAGGATCTGCACGACGTGGACATTCACCTGGAGGTGCGCATCGGCAACAAGCAGGACTCGCTCTACACCACCACCCTAAACTCCACCCTAAACGTGTGCCGCATCCTGGGCTTCGCCAACAAGTCGCCGGTTGGGCGCTTTGTGCACGGCTTCATCCGCGAGTTCGGCAACATCGTCGAGAACTGCCCCATCGCCAAGGTGAGTGGAGTGCCGGGATCCCGCTGACCCACCACCCATTTTCGGTCCCGTTCTAGGGCCACTACCATTGGCACCGCATTCATTTACAACGTCCATTACAGGGCTCCTACTTCATCAACAAGTTCTGGTGGCCCGAGGACCCGACCACCGCCATGCTGCCGGAGCTGGAGTTCGAGATCGTCTGGCAGGCCATGCTCCTGGACGCCAGCAAGAAGCGCACTCTGATCATGAACGATCACTTCGGGGGGGAGTTCGTCGTCCAAGACGTCAATAACCTCAAGCCCGGCATCTTCGCAATGCTGCCCAAGATCGCTTAAAAGCTCTGCCCCGCTCGTCTCCCTGCCCTGGGATGAGCCATCCCGATTTGTCGCGTGTCCCAATGGTATTTACTTCATGTTGTTCAGTGTCACTTTGGTGTTAACCACAAAGCAAGCAAATAAAGTTGCCTCGAAAAGAGCAAATCCAAGATCAAATTCAGGGGGACGGCAAAGTAATGACTTATTTCATTGCATGCACTATTTGACAGAAAAAAAAATGCCATTGACGGGCAGATGTCATAATAAGAATCAAGAAGGAGCACTGTAGTCGAGTCCCACAAATATTAAATACCTTTTCTCCGTTATCCAATTTAAAAAAAATTTTGCACCTTACAGATGGGTCCACTTGCAATTCTATTGGCGTGCCAAGCCAAAAAGATGTGGTGCTATCTTTGGTAATTGTGAATATATTTGAAAGAGGTGACCTTTTTGACTATGTTGAACTTAATTTCCTAATAACTTCGGGTAAACGAAGGGAATGCCCAATTTTAACTTGAATAAAAACCGGAACCACTAAACCGACCCTGAGCACATCCTCAACGGTTAAAGGAAGCCAAACTGTCTTGACTTCGGGCGTGAACTATCAGTCAAACACATTATGTAAACAAGAGGACACTATCATATCCACAGAACTACCCCACCCTCAAAACCATTAGCTCACCTTGCAACTATAAATTCAAAATTAAAACGAGGACGGAAGCTAACTTCGGCAAGCCGAAGTTTTGATACCCTTGCAGACTTTGCCGAAATTGCTAAAAGTGAAAAAGTAGCGAAAGGAATAAGGTATTTGCATCGTTTCAAGTTAATTGCTTTTATACTGCAAAAATGTCATATACAAATAGAAAACAAGAGAGAACACTATAGTCGGGTGCCCCGACTATCAGATACCCGTTACTCAGGGAAAGGGAGTGCGAGGGAGATGGAGATAGAAACTTTGATCACAGTTTTTAACGAATGGTCCGATTTGAAAAATTTCTTCTACATTTCGATAGGTATTGATAAACACAATAAAACTGCATTTTTACTTTTCCGAAATATTTAAATTTTTAAAATATATAAGCGATTGTGGGCGTTAAAGGGGGCGTGGCACCTTTTTGAAACAAACTTGCGCTGCGTAGGAACTCCTAGAATCTGCATGCAAAATGCCAATCTTCTAGCTTTTATAGTTTCCGAGATCTCAGCGTTCATACGGACGGACAGACAGACGGACAGACGGACATGGCTATATCCACTCGGCTAGTGACCCTGATCAAGAATATATATACTTTATAGGGTCGGAAACGCTTCCTTCTAGCTGTTACATACTTTTGCACGAATACAATATACCCTTTTACTCTACGAGTAACGGGTATAAAAAGGGATACTTTCGCAGCCTTAAACAATTTTTCCTATCTTTTCCGAGCGAGCGCTTTTACCCTAATCAAGATATGCGTAAATAAATAAGAATTGGAAAAATTTATGATAGTAGCTTACACACTTCGCGAAATATTCTTATAATCATCAAATTTGGAACGATTTCACCCTATTGTTCCTATGGGGGCTATAGGATATAGACGTCCGATCGGCACGCGCCTTCACCTTGATCAATGTATGCATAAAAAAATACAATTTGGAAAGATTCATGTCAATAGCTTGTATACTGCGCGAAATATCCTAAAAATCATTAAATATTAACCGATTTTACCCTTTTGTTCCTATGGGAGCTATAGGATATAGACGTCCGATCGCCACGCGCTTTTACCCTGATCATGGTACGCATAAAAAAATAAGATTTGGAAAGATTTATGTCAATAGCTTTGGCACTGCGCGAAATATCTTCCATTCTTGCAAGTTATATCCGATTGTTCCTATGGGAGCTATAGGATATAGACATCCGATCGGGGCGGTTTTCAAACTTGATCTGCGTACACTTGTTTTAGGACAAGTGTGAAAGTTTCATATCGCTAGCTTTTAAACTGAGCTCGCAAACGGTATTGAAACAGACTTACAGACGGACAGACGGACGGACGGACAGACGGACAGACGGACAGACGGACATGGCTATATCGACTCCCCTATTGATCCTGATCAAGAATATATATACTTTATAGGGTCGGAAACGTCTCCTTCACTGCGTTACAAACTTCTGACCAAAATTATAATACCCTCTGCAAGGGTATAAAAATGATCTCTCTCGCAAATATAAGATTATTCATATAATCTTAATAGCTATTTGTATTGTCGACTCGGATATTTGCCATTACACAATGTATAATCATAAATATGAAAAAATTGTATCAACAGTTGATATAAATTACTATATATAATAAATTAGTTATTATATTGTAAACACGGCCTATGGATAAAACTTTGTACTACAATGTTTATATATTAATTTTATTCCGCTTAAAACAATTATCTATTAGTCTCTAGAGATCTAGAGGTTCATACGGACAGACCAGTGGTTAGTGATTCTGACCAAGAATATGTATACTGTATAGGGTTGAAAATGCTTTCTTCTATCTTGTACATACTTTTTATCGACTTCAATATAGCCTTTTATTCTACGAGTAACCGGTAAAATAAGTCGACGTCGGAAAGGTTTGCGGCTAAATTTGATTTATCGATGTGAAAGGATTTGGGAGATCAAACTGTTGATGAAATGGCCGTTATAATTGATCAATAATACATTTTTTTTATATTTTCTTTGTGTATATCTTATTGGGCTGGAATCGCTTTCTGGTCCAATTTACACAACCAATGAACTGCAAATAACTATTCGTAAGCCAAAGTTCTACTCCAATGCACTTGCAATTATTACAGAGTTTATAATGGCATTGGACCGGGTAATTCGGATCAAAACCGATTTGGGGCATGTACTTATTGAATAAAAGTTTAAAAGCAAACGCAAAACAGTCAAGCCAATCAAGAGATAAAGGTTGAGGTAACTGCGCTATTTTCTAAAAAAAGGGGCGTTACTAATTCTACTGTAAGAAAAATGTCAAAAAAGCTTGTGTCGTGATTTGACTCATTTTCAAAGGGTAGTATTTTCTCCAAGAATTCTTCTCCGGATTGACAGTTCCGCATCTACGTATTGCTTAACTAAGCATTTTTTCTCAAAACCCACGAAGGAAATCTTACTAATCGTTATTGATTGATTTCAAAGACTACCTTTTAAGGGAATCACAAAAAATGCTTTAATAATGCTTTTAGTCATAATCATAATCACAGAGGATAGGTTAAAATGCCATGTCGAAATTGGCCTGCAATTGTCCGTGCCCCGCACAGCCATCAATGTCAATTCTAATAAAATTTTTATATTATTCAATGCCGGAATCTGAACGTGCTGCTCCCGAATTTTGACACTGGACGATTTTGTGTTTTTGCAGCATTTCCAAATTGAATTAAAATGGGCCGGCTATTTGGTAGGGATTGGAGAAAAACAAAAGCCCACAACATCAAATTGTTATTCAATATAGTCGCAATGAAATGTTTGTGACTTGTGTCGTGCTTATTGTGATCCGACAGCGACAGTTTGCGAATTTTAAAAACGCTTTTAGCTATTTTTTATCCTATTGAAGGTGCCACTTGGTATGATTTATGCGAGTTTGAGTTTGCCGAGCTTTGGATTTGGTTACTTGGTCATTTGTCGATTGGCATATTGATGCATTGTCGGAGTAATTGAGGAAGAAATAAAACGACAGTAAAAATGAGGAATGCTAAAAGGTCCCCGGCACCTCTGCTTCGTTCTCTGACTCGTTGATTTGCAATAAATTGTTCAATTTAAATTACTGGGTATAATAGGCCTGAAATGAAAATACAAATCTGTGAACAAATCTTCCCCAAGCAACTTTTATCAATTACCTGACCAGTCTCCACCAAAAAAGAGGTGCAAAAAGGTGAATTTTATTGTGATAAGCCCTCAACCACCGTCGACCCAATCCGCACAATGCATTTGTTTTCACTTTGTTGAACTTGTGAAACTTTTTCCCATCCAAGGAAAGTTCAGGGGTCAAGCCAGCGGCCATTTAAGCTCCATTAGACAGGCACACAAAGCGACAAAACGCCTCGTTGCTCAGGGATCACCCCGGTGTAAGAAAATTCATTGTCCAAGTCGCCCAGCTGTGCGCCCTTTGCTCTACCCAAAGGACCACGAAGGGTTGGCCCTGATTTGATTGCAGTACAGTAAATCTTGAAAAATTGCCATTCGATGCTAACGTTTTGAAAACATTCATCAATAAGTTGGCTGCGACTCAGCCACGGCAGAGAGAATTCCTCCAGCGCGGCATTAAGTTTTCTACACTGGCAAACGTTTTTCCTTCGCAGTTGGGTGGAAATGGCTTAAACGCCGATTTTTCTCAGTATTTATCTCAGTGCAGGGCCAGGGACCCCTTGGAAGGACCCACATATGCCACACAGGCACTCCAGCCAGCCAGTCAAATCTTTCCATTTGGCTAATAAATCCTTGAGCAGCTTATTGAGCAACGTCTGCGCATAAATATTATGGCTGGCAATGGTCAGGGAGAAGGACGATGCCACAGTGCCGAGGACTCGGCCGCATTCAGTTTTCACTTGAATACGTTACGTCCGCTCCCCCGTCCTTCCACTCCATTGTTACTCCTCTCCGTCGGGAAAGCTGCGCATTCTCGGCTCGCTTCGAACGTGTTAAATAAATCGCTTTTCAAGGCTGGTATTTCCTTCTTTGGGGTAGCACAACTTCTGCATAAGGTTAAGTTTGCTTACATTGACTTCGCGGTACTATTATTGGGGCACGTAAGGTTTTCCGATCAGCTGTGTCGCTTGCTTTATTTTTAAGGCTATCTCAAATCAACTCGTGTTTTTTTGCGAAAAGCAATCTCCAATATGAAAACGTGTGCGGTTTGATTTCTGTTGACAAAAAATAATTATTGAGACAAAAAACTTATTTAGCAAATTATATTATATTTCTAAACTGGTATCCCCGACGATATTAAGCAAAAGAAAATATAATATTATATTATTATTCGATCAAAACAATTATGATATCATGATCTCTTTCTGTTAAAAAAAGAAATCCCCAAATATAAAACCTATATGTCACTGCCAAGTAGGAAAATACGCTTCCGCCCTTTTTTTTACAAT